TAACTAATATTAACTAAAGCCAGCTGAAAATAAAATAATGTTGAATATTAACTTTTATTTTTCCATTCTTATATCAGTCACTATATTAAAAAAGGCACAAGTTTACTTAGGTTTGTACAATCATAACCAGAAAAGAAGAAAATATAGTGAGTTTAAAAACACATGTAAGCCACAAATTAAATTAATTAAATAAATGAATTAAATAAATTAAAAGATTTAAAGAAAAATGATGGTAGAAAATAAAAGAAGTTCCATAGGGACTTTTCTTCTTAAAAGATTTTACAATATTGATCCTTTTGCCAAAATATGGTCAGCATATCAAATCAAATGTGGGTTGTGACTGGCTGTATGGTGTATATAAGTCTAGATAAAGCGTGTTGCTGCTGGCATCTGTTATCACTTTAATAGTTTGGGTAGGTTTCAGCACACAGCGCAGGCTTGGGTGGGCTCACCCAGCTTGTGTGACAGAAGTACAATACCTCTTTGTTAAGTGGCTGTTTACACACTTATCAGTCAGCCCGGTGTCTCATGCCAATTAATCACACTGCTCCCTAGAAAAGTTTATGTTTTAAATTTCACTCATAGTAGAAGCCTAAAAGGATAAACATTAAAGAAAAATGACCAAATCCATTTCTCTGCATAAAAAAAAAGAATATTAATAACGTTTTGCTACATAACAAAATTTGTGATAAACTCAATTTTTCAATGCTGATAACTTTGTGAAGGAAAAATATGGGAGTATTACTTTATATATATGTTTCCTATTATTGAATAGTTTACTACAAAAAAAGTCCAGTTAAATATATTGATACTAAAATAAATTAAACTTAAAAATAAAACTTATCTAACTGCATGAAAGTCAGATTTTGAGCCTTGCTATAAACCACAATTTTAGGGTCTTAGTCAAAAGCTCATCTGAAGTTACTTACATCAAAATTTCCATACTACACCAAAGACATAGATGTCCACATAAATTAAGATGGACCAAAATAGACACTCTGTTCCACTGGCAAGTAAATTTGGGAGTACAAAATGCTCTTGCAAAACATGACACTTATCAAAGATGTGTTTTATACAGTCTTAAAAAACTAAACAAGAAAATAGTTACAACAAAATATAATTTGTTAACCAGCAATAATTGGTTTTCAAGTAAAAAGCAGTTCAGAAAGAACGACTTACAGAATACTGAGCACCCGTATCACAACATGAAAAAAAAATTCATTCTTCAAGAGAAAAACTGTTATGGCTGGATAACAAACACTAAACTGACAGAATTAGCACAAAAAGAAAAAAAAAACTAAGCAGTACCCAACCAATAATTTAAAAAGTATTATTCTAATTTTGAATTTCAACCTTTCCTCTTTCTCCGGCCATTGCTAGAAACCTGTTATTTCCCTGTTACATGTTTTCCCCACACCCTCCAGAAGACTGCAGTGTGCTCAGCACAGCACTGGCGCAAAGCATCTTGTCTTGAAGGTGTGATTCTTCTTCATCTGGGAAACTGAAGGTACAGGTTTAACACAAAAGAATCAGAGTTGGGCAGGCTGGATTCCATAAGCCATTTGCTATACCCTCCCAAGAGAGATATTGAATCCAGTGTCCACGTTAGAGGTCAGTATGACTCAGAACTGCAGTGACCAAGTCCCAGAGTGGAGTCAGACTTAAGGAAAAGGGAAACTTGGGTTTAAATTGTGGATCTTGCTCTTACAGTATGACCCAGAAGAAAGTACCTAAGCCTTCTAAGTGTCAGTGTTCCCACTTGCAAAAGGGCGCAATAATATCTACAGTACAGCGTTATTGTAAAGAATAAATGAGATAACATATGTAAAGTATGTGCCATGTGTCCCAAGTCCTGTTTTTACACCTTGACAAAAATGCATAATCAAATATCAATCATCTCTGTTTTAAAAAATTTTAAAGATGCATGATATTGGGATAGATTCATTAGATCCCAATATGTATCAGTTGGAAGTAGGGACAGTGCTAAAATGAAAGAGAATGGCCACCAATTGCCATAATTTAAGGTCCTTAGGTTCAAAGGAGAAAAGTATACCACACTCTTTAACATATCACTCAATTCAATTCAACTCAATGTTAGCAGATACAAAAGAAAAAAAGATTAGACATTCTTCCCACTTTTACTAATTCACAATCTAAAAAAGGATCATACCAAGTTATGGGCAATGCTGAAATTGGAAAAGTTTTTTAAATAAATTTTTAAAATCATTTCAATATATAAATTTGCCAGCAAAATCAGTCCTGAACTTGAACTGGTTAGAGGCTCCATAGTCATGGCCCTTGTATTGAATGCAAACATTTAGGTGTCACAAGTCTTATTAAATGGTGAGATCCCAAATCCCACTGACAATATGACAGAATATGGGATGTAATGCAGTAGCTTTGGAAAACATAAAGTATTCCAAGTTCCAAAATACATGTAGCCCACGGATTTCCGACAGGAGAACCTGAACAATCCCTGCTTAAGGAATAATGAGAGAGTAGCAGTAGAATAAGGTCAACTGCCTAAGGTGGAAACCTGGATTGAAGAATGTATTTTCTATCCCTCTTATGTTAGAATTGGCTTAGAACCCTTAGGTATTGTATAATAAGGAAACAATAACACTACTTCCATCACTGAGTTCTTGGAGAAGCAAGAAATAATACGTACAAAATGCTCTCAGCAATGCTGGGCACAAAGTAAATGCTAACAAAGGCTGAGTAGTGGAAATGTCAAGAAAAATATTTTGAACATTTGCTAGGAAAAGGCAAACAGGTGAATATATAGATCAGAGAGCTAGGCAGCTATATACCATGTTATATTTTAGAATTTTATTTTATAAAAATCTACGAGTTTTCTTTTTCTTCTGCCCAGAGCTATTTCTACTCTCTGGTCTCAGAAGTAGTATTAGTGCAAGTCCTGGGGGCAGGCAGCACTCCTGGTGGGGTAAACAGGCATTTGGAGCTGATAGGATATACTGAGATGTCAAGCTCTTAATGCAAAGATAGATTATCTGGAAAGAAATTACCAATGAAGAGCAACCTAGAGGAATGCTTCTGGAATTCCATGTACAAACTAGTCAGCCAGTGTTTTTGTTAAAATGCGGATTCTAACTTCATGTTGTGGGGCCATTCTGCAGTGGAGTTGTCAGAGAGTCAGAACCCTGCTGGCCCACACCGAGAGGAGACCAGACCCAGAGCAGGGGTCCTCAAGGTGCACAGGTGACATCGGAATCTCTTGAGGAGTTATTAGAAAAGCAAACCCTAGGAAACACTAGGAGATTGTTGATCTGAATAAGCTGTTTACATCCAGTCAGACTTTCCCTGAGAATAAAAGCAGAATACCTTTAAAATACTTTAAAAATAACAGGAGCATACTAGACCATGTTACCTAAATAAGAAAACTGATTTCCCTCTGCAAACAATTACCAAAACTATAGACCCTGCAATAACACTTACAATGTAGGCTTTTACCAGGTAAGACACCTGCTCTGACGATATGCGGGCAGAAGGGTGTAGAATTCTCAGTTGAACCACTTACCAACTAGTCACAAAACAGGTCATTTCCATTTCACATAGGTAACAGAGATAGGACTTTGTAAAGGAACCAAGCTGAGCTTTGCCCCTCCTTGTGTTGAGGATGCAACCCAACCACATCATGGTTTAACCAACTTCTCCCGAGCAATGTTTACACACCGCCTGGCCCAAATGTAAATATATATCAACATTCTGATTTATAGCTGTAGGTGAGCTGTTTACATATACAGATACACAGACACAAATTACAGTACATTAATGGTCTGAAACACAATATTCCAAAAGGACAAAAAAACTTGGGGGTAAACTATAAATATAGAATGTCATGACCAGAGAAAAGACCTCAGTTTTCTGAATGTGAAGCCAGTTGACTGTTAAATAGGTGGTTTCCCCAAAACTTTATAATAAACTAATGGATTCAGAATGCAGATTCAGGTGTTTTTTTTCCAACTTCAAAGTTTGAATTTACAAGTTCACATCTCAATCAGGTTTACAAATTCACCTCTCAGAAACTGAGCACATAGCTCTGACTTTAATCTCTTTTTGAAGCTGTCAGTCACTAACCTTGTAAAGCACACTTGCTTCAGGATTCGGGGTGGGGCCCTCTGATTCTGCTAAGACCATGCTTTAGCACAGTGCTGTCTTCAGACCCCTCTGGTGTTCACACGATGGGGGGGGGGGGGTACCCAGAGCAGAGGCTAGGCTTGCTGCTCAACCATGCAATGCAGGAAACAGTGCCCTCAGCACAGAATCACCCAGCCTCACATGCCGATAATGCCCAGGTGAGGAAACCTGCATTTAAGCCACAGAGGCTGCAGACACGCTGAACAAATGTCCCAGGTGTACATCCTCATCACACTCCTAGCACAGTGTGAGCACAGCGATAAATGTTAGCTGATTATTGAATAAACTACCTCTGTGTAGTGGAAACTTTAGAGTCATAGAGATGAGAAAGGGGTTATTACATATGTAATATCTAATATTACCAAACAAAATTAGTCATTGTCAAAACAACAACAACAACAAATTAAAAATCAACTACTCCAATTTTTGTATTTCTGGAATAATTGTCATACGAAAGATGCTATCTAATATACTGATAGTATAGTGATGGGGAAATCAGTCTTCTTAGTAACCAAAGTAAAATATAAAATCTTTATAAATTTATTAAAATATCAGTTTTTATTTGTAATAGTGTCAATGTCCCATACTTCTTTCAAATTAATAAAGCATTTCCTTTATAAAAAGTAAAACTAATATGACATAAATCACACATAATAAGTGATATTTCACAAGCAGGAAACAAAACAACATGTAATTATTTTTCAAAAAAGCAAATCACAGACTTCCACGGCCTACGGGCATTTATACTTCTGAGAATTCTGAGATCTAAAATGTCATTAGAAATTCTGAACTGGCTTACATTTTTGAAACACAGGAACTGAGAGTCAAAAGGCCAAACGTACCCTTAATAATCGATTCAGCTGCATACAAATCTCGTTTGTAGGTCACCTAAAGGACAGATAAACCTCATTAGACTTAACAGAGCAGGAAAGAATGTGAAAGCAATAAAATTATGTCCCCAAGGAAATTCTTGATTTTGGAGACACTATAAACTCATAATACTGACAATTTCTACATTACAACAACATCAGCAAATTCAGAATAATGTACTCTATTTCCACAAATGGTTGAAGATTTGTTTTTTAAACCTTTACATAAATTGAGATACTATATGGCAGTGTATACCAACATCTTATTAATGTAACTGAAGTATTATATCAAAGACTACGTGGTAGCATTTAAAGAAAAGTATTAGCATTATTGTTTAATAGTGAGGTTTTATTTTGGAAGGAAGAAAAGGTAAGTAAAACAAAAACCACCACATTGCATTTTTAGTTGCAGTGAGAGCATTCTCAAAGACCAATTCACATTAAGAAGGGAGTTCCTTCTGAATTGAGTATATCTGTACATACCTAAATAACTGCACACCTTGTGAGGATTTTATAGCTCTGATAAAAAAAAATATCCTAGGATGCACCATGTACATAGGAACAATCACAATCTTTCCTCAAAAACATGCAGCTTCCTTGCCATAGTAACCTGCTCTTTGTAATGTAACCTGACATGGTCCTGTGGCAGATACTTCTCAGGCTACATCAGGGAGCTCAGATATAGAATATGTTACGTGCACTGCACTGCAGAATTAGTTCTCCTATATCACAGAACTGGAAATGTAGTAAATAATGAACCATACCAATAAATACTATGAGGTCTTAGGAGCTCATCATTTAAGTGCCCAGGTGATTATGATACAAATGGTTTAAAAACCTACTTTGAGAAGTATTACCAAATTACTACCTTTCTGTGCCTACAATTTAAACATTTTTCCTCCAAATTACCTCTTAACTAGACTTGTATAGAAACTGTTCAGCTCAAGTGGCTCAGGGCACTTCTACCCGTAATAGACTCCTGTGCTATGCCTTAATCTTAGCCGATAAATCCTAGTCCGAAACTACAATCCAAAATTAAAGCAGTTACTTTGTAAAACAAATGGGAAGTTGCTCAAGCATTCAACTAATCTATTTACATTAAATGTGGCATTGCTACATTATGTCTAAAACAAGCACATGCCAACCAAAACTAGTATTATAGTTACTGATCCACAGTGCAATTTTACTACCCAGAAAAAATAGAAACAGATGTTTAAAAGTTCATACTGTGCATTTTACCAAATTAAAATATGTACTGATTTTGCTCATTCACACATCAAATACTTATCAAATACTGTGTTCTAGGTACTGTTTTAAGTGCTGGGAATAGAGCAATCAAAAGAATGCGCAAAACTCCTTCACTTGTAACCATTGCATTTCAGGGGAGAAATTTTTCTTTTAAGAATTAAAGTCCAGTCTGGCCAGTGTGACTCACTTGTTGAGCATTGACCCACGCACCAGGAGGTCACCAGTTTGATTCCCAGTCAGGGCACATGCCCAGGTTGTGGGCCCAATCCCCAGTGGGGGGCATACAGGAGGCGGCCAATCGATGTTCTCTCTCATCGATGTTTCTATCTCTCTCTCCCTCTTACTTCCTCATACTCTGTAATCAATAAAAAAAAAAAAAAAAAAAATTTAAACCCCAGCAGGTGTGGCTCAGATGTTTGGGTATTGTCCCATGCACCAACAGGTCATCAGTTCGATTCCAGGTTGGGGCACATCCCCAAGTTTCGGGCTCAGCCCCCAGTAGGGGGCATGCAGAGGCAGCTGATCAATGTTTCCATCTCTCTCCCTTCATCTCTCTTTAAAAGAAAAAAAATCAATAAAAACATTTAAAAAAATAAAAGAATTAAATCAGTTTCTCTTTTGTTGCTAGAAAATTAAGTAAACTAAATATTTCAAATCAAGTTTAAGTGAGAAAACGTTTTTCTACAATCTGCGGTGTAAAACTCAGAAATTAATGGTAAGATGGTCAATGCCATTATTCACTTTTTATCCTTTCCTGCTTTTGTTGAGGGATAAGACTGCATTCCAACTTAAAAGAGAACTGTGAAAGTACCTTTGTATTCCAAATAAATCTTAATAATGGATTTTTTAATTTAAAGAAAACTTGGATTCATATACTGAAATGTTTTCTAATACTTACAAGACCACATTTTTGCATCGGAGTCTGTCTTATGAATAAAATACATGTTTTTATTACCTGAAGGTAATTTCTCCACTAACATTAAATAATTAACTGTACAAACAAGAAAGAATCCTAACTTTCCTTTGTTGTCTACTTTTTTATTGTAGGCTGTGGATATCTACTATATACTAAAGATTTTGCATTGTATTAATATTTTCAACATAAAGCCTTAATGAATACCTCAGCTGCACTTCTCAAGTACTGATTTAATAAAAAATAAAAAACTACAGCCCGGATGGTGTGGCTCAGTGGTTGAGCACTAACCCATGCACCAAGAGGTCGCTGGTGTAGTTCCCAGTCAGGACACATGCCCAGGCTGTGGGCCAAATCCCCAGAAGGGGGCGTGCACGAGGCGGCCAATCGATGTTCTCTCTCATCGATGTTTCTATCTCTCTCTCTCGCTTCCTCTCTCTCTCAAATCAATAAAGATGGGAAAAAAATTAAAATAAATAAACTACAAAATATTTCTGATAAACTTGTAAAGTACTGTGTTTAAACAGCCTTTTTAAAAAAATGAACATACAGCCCTGGCCAGTTTGGCTCAGCGGTTAGAGCGTTGGCCTGCGGTACAGAGAGACCCGGGTTCGGTTCCCGCTAAGGGCATGTACTTCGGTTGCAGTTTGTCCCCGGCCCTGGTTGGTCGTGCAGGTGGCAGCCACTCGATGTGTCCCTTCACATCGATGTTTCTCTCTCTCTCTCCCTTCCTCTCTCTCCCTCCCACTCTATCTGTACAAAAAAATGGAAAAATATCCTCGGGTGAGGATAAAAATAAATAAATAAATAAATAAATGAACATACATCAAAGTGAAAATTACTGGGAAATGTAATTCCGAATTAATGAGTTATTCTTTTTCTGTCAGATTCTTACAGTAACATGGGTTGCTTTTTCCTTATTTTTAATTTCAAAAAGAGTTTAATGATCAGTTTTGAAGTTGATTTTCTTCTGCCAGCATGGTCGACAGTTTTTCTTTTTACACATTATGACAGTTACTTTATAAAAATAAAAATAAAAATAAAATCACCCTTGAAGTGATGGAAGAGAGCGGCAGTCCTCTGGTTTCCTAGTTTTCACACCCAGGCACGACAGCCGGGCCACCTGCGGGCCAGTGGAGGTGCCCTGCGCAGTCAAGACCCTCAGCCCACCTCTGCACTCACCTGGTGAAGCTCACGTGTCGCCTGTGTTGTTTGACTAGGCTTCTGTGCAATATTTCATCTGGGTAAAGTGTTTAGCTAAAATATATATAAATGTACATATGTATTTTTTTTCCCAGTGGAAGAAAAACCTGAAACTGAGAGCCGCGGAGGGTTTTCTTCCAAAGCTAGGCCAGAGCTCCCTCAGCTACCTCAAGGTGAACACCAAAACCACGACACTGCCGCACCACGTTGTGTTGCTCCGTCTGTGTTGACGTCGCATCATGAATGAGACTCCTCGGAGCCAGGCCCAGTCGGCTACCGTCTCACTTGAGTTAGCTGTACTATGTTTAACGCTTTCCCATGTTTCCCCTCCTGAGAAAATGGATATGTAACTCCAATAATTAGAAGCCAGAAAATCTTACATTTTAAAGATGCAGAATGTTTATTGGATACAAATTGAGACTGAGCGTATTTATTATACTTATTTCCATTTAATCAATTACATCTGCATTAAAAATATTCCTTCCACTAGCGTGAATAACTAGAGGGAAAACTCCAAAAAGAAATAATGCCACCATAGTGTATTTTTTGAGGTTAAAAGGGGGTAAAAAGTGAGACTGTTTTGTTTCTTTAGTTCTTAGCAAAGATGCTAAAACACTTGGATCAAAAAAAATATATAGTTCACATCAAAAGGAATACTCAAAAGCAAGCCATTCCAGTAACACTGTGGTCACTCAAACATTTCGGAAACTCCTTCTCAAGAAGCCCTTTCAGACAATGGGACACAGCTGAGTTTCTTAAATAACTGTTTATAAATCTTTTATAAATCTTTCAAGCCTTGAGGATGGTGTTAGCATTTAGATAAAAGAAGTCTGCTCAATTAGGTCTATGAAGTATAGTAAGTGACAAATACTTAATTATATTGGGACAAACACATGGTACAACTATAAATTAAAGACATGGGAGTTCTGTAGGCTAGAAAATTCCACTGAAGCCGGCATGTACCCACTGAGGCCTGGCAAGGCACCAGCACTCAGGGAAAGTGTGGGAGCTACCACCTCTTCCTGGGGGCAGTCCTGTGCTCTTCTGGGGTCGGTCACTCTTTAGAGAGGGGGTTGGTCATTCACGGGGATGTCCTCTACTCTGCATGGGGATTTGAATAAAGCTCCTCCATGCCCCAGAGTACCTGCTGCAAGAAGGTTGGCATCAATTCTGAATTTTACTTTTTATGTTTACTTTTACAAAAAAAAAAAAAAAGTGTAAAATACAAAAGTAAAAACTCTCCTGGGATGTCTGGTGTCAGAGTAACACCCCAGTCATTCCCCACACATGCTGTGTCTCAGAGCATTGCAGATATTATTTAACCCAATTAGGTTGGAGTTCCAACCCCAGGGCTCTTGTGGAGAGCAGAGGTCCGTCCTCAAATCCAGTTGCATGTAAGGCAACAAAGTCAAAGGACAGACACAGACAACAAGAAAAACAAACAGAAAAACTGTGAATAAAACAACCTTAGTGGCTAAATGAAATTTGTTTGAATAAATTATGTCAAAGTGCATTTTCTTAAAACCAAGCAATATAAATGATACCATACTTCGATGGCTCAGAAAATCCAGTGAGACTCTGTTAGCTCCCTTAATATATGCAGACACAGACAGACAGACACACACAGCCCTTTTCTCCCAGAAATACTGTTTCAGTATGAAACCAAGTATTTTTACACTATCTCTCCATTTTCTAAAGCACCTGGAAGGTGTTTGTACTTGCAGAATTGTCCTTTGGAATGACTAAGCACAGACAAGACCCAGAACAAAGCACCAACTCCATTACCTTCCAGAGATCAGGTGATCCTTCCACAAGCTTGGCTTTAACATGACAGTATTTTAGAGCCAATTGCAAACATTCAGTTCCAAATTCCAGGTCATAGTCACTACACTGAGTAGGAAAAAAAAAAAGTTAAGTTAGAAAATGAAATAATTTACTGCATAATCAACTGCATGGAGAAAAGGAAGAGCCTAGAGAATTGCCATGCTCTTTAATTACCTACTGATTACTCACGTTACAGAATGATTTTCCCTATGCCCTAAAAGCCAGTAGAAAATAGGAATGTTGCAATTATGAGTCTCAAACTTCCTCAATCATTTCAGGTGTCAAATAAACATAATACTTAATTTCCTGTACTCATAAGCTACCTTTCCAAACACATTTCTAAAATGCCTATGGATTACCATATCATAGTTTGATTTAACAAATACTTGTATTCATAAAACTGCAAATCCCCTACCTTATATTGATATCAATTTATATGTGTATTAGGTCATAGCTTTCTTATTCGCCTTAATATTTTAAATCTCAATATATCTTTTTTAAGTGATTTATATTTTGATTCTGAAATTGTATACAGTGTTGTAAAGGTCTTTTATAGATTTAGAAAAATATAAATAACATGTTCAAGAATATTAAGCAGAAGCATTAAAATGACCAACACAACATCATTTAGATGAATAATACTGAGTGCCTAGTTTATGCTTTGCATTAAGTGCCAGCATATATATATATATAAATAAGACATTTACTGTGTCCTCAAGGTACTCGAGTCTAGAAGAGGAGACCATTTTTAACAAATATTTTGCAACCGATGTGATATGAGTAGCACTAGAAGAACCTAGAAGTAGACCAGAAGATAAAATACTTAACACTGTGGGAGGGATTCAGGGAAGGTCTAGCAGAGAAAATGGTCTCTGATCTCATATTAAAGACTGAGTAAAACTGCAGGAGAGGGATATCTCTAAGCCAAAGGCACCATACAAAGGATAGAGAGGTTTCAGATTTGTGTTTTAGAAAAAGTATATCCCACTTCTAGGAATACATCCTAAGAAGCCTGAAACACCAATTTAAAAAAAATATATGTACCCCTATGTTCATAGCAGCACTATTTACAATTGCTAGGATCTGGAAACAGCCCAAGTGTCCATCAATAGATGAGTGAATAAAAAAGCTGTGGTACATATACACAGTGGAACACTATGCAGCCGTAAGAAAGAAAGATCTCATATCCTTTGAGATGACATGGAGGGACCTGAAGAGTATTATCCTAAGCAAAATAACCTGATCAGAGAAAGACAAATACCATATAATCTTACTTATTTGTGGAATATAATAAACAAAATAAGCCGATGAACAAAATAGACTCATAGGCATAGAAAGGAGTACATTTCAGATTGACAAACCTCAGAGGAGGGTGGAGGGTGGGAGGGATGAGATAAACCAAAGAACTTATATGTAAGTATGCATAACCAATGGATATAGAAAACAATGCTGGGGGTCGGGGAGCAGGATTGAGAGGAGGTTGTCTATGGGGGGAAAAGGAGAAACATCTGTAACAAAGACAAATAAATAAATAAATAAATAAATAAATAAATAAATAAATAAATAAATAAATAAATAAATAAATAAATAAAAAGAAAGAGTATATCCATGTATGAAAGACAGCAAGAAGGCAACAAATATAATTATGACATTCATCATCCTTTGCCAGTGCTATTGGTTCATACACGAGGTTATAAAATCCTAGCTGTTAATTATTCCTGAAGGAAATGGACCAGGAAATATAACCATTAACCATATGTAGAGTCCCAAATTGACCAGAGCTGTCTCTGTGTAAATGTTCTATTGTTATACTATAGAATATGACATACTTCTTAGACATTTCCATTTTTTATCTCACCTGAGGAATTGTTTATTGATTTGAGAGAGGAAGGGAGGGAGAAAGAGATAGAGAGAGAAGCACTGATGTGGAAGAGAAACATCCATCGGCTGCCTCCTGTACATGCCCCAACTAGGGATCAAACCCACAACCTAGGTATGTGACCTGACCAGGAATCAAACCCTCAACCTTTTGGTGTGTGATATGATGCTCCAACAAACTGAACCACCAGGCCAGAGCAACATTTTCCTTTTTAACTTAGTGTTACCAGCAGTAGTTACATTCAAATAGGTTAAGATGAATTTGGGTAAACCTCTACTTTGTACTTCCTGCATCTGCACAGTCTCATCTCGTAGTGTGTGAGGTGTGTGTACAGTAAATAAGGTTTTCTCTCTAACCCATGGTTAAATCCCAAAGATGACTAGCAATGATGCTTTTCCTGACCTCGAACACATCTGTGGACAGGCGTTAAGGTGCTCACAAAGTGCTATTTCCGGGAGCCCACAGGAACAACTACCTCCTTCCATCCAGGTGGTGGGGTAAGAATATCCCTTGATGCTGTGTTCCTGCCAGACATGCAATGTACCAGCCAAGATGGCAACAGCCTATAAGTTGCATAAAGTCTTTAGGACTCCAGTCACCAGGGTCAAAGGGAAGCATGGAAAATCATGGGTCAGGTATATATGAAATATACACCAGAAACAGAAGCTAAGCATTTTGGCTGAGAGAGCAGTCTGAACTTGTCATTCATTGGATGGACTAATATTAACACTATTTATAGAGTTTGGGGGTAGTTTTTTGGCATTAAAAGCTTACTTTCACAATGAGTTTTTTAAAAAGGTATGCGAAATGACAAGTTAAATTCTGAACTTCTGTGTCACAAGATCACTGGTGATGATTTCTACTTTTGTCTACGATATAGAAAGTTGGGGAAAAAATGATGTACATTTCTGAACAAAAGAAAAAGCTGATAAACTATACAAGCACAACTTTTTCTTGAAGCCAAACTGAGGCTACAAGAGAATCAAGTAGCCTTAAGTCTAAAAAAAAATCATCCCTCCTCCAAGGAAAGAGAGGATGCCCACACTGGCTCATTTATGGTGGAACACAGAGGGAAAGACACCGGGTGTCACACAGGCAGGTAGGAAGAAATCACTGCAAACATCAATAGCTTGCTAAATACTGAGTGGAGGGGACAAGGTGCCGCAGTCACACTGGAGTTCACCCCCACTCACGAGCTCCTCTTCAGCACCCTGCCGCTGGGAGCTCATGCAGTGTCGTTATTTTAAAGGGGGCTGTGACTAGATGCGTATTCTAAACTGAAGGCAATCACTAATCGAACATTTTAAAGTTAAAAATAAAAAGTCAATAGTAACAAAATGGAATTATAAAAGGTAAGATACTAATTCAAAGGCAGACAGAAAAAAGAATAAAAGAACAGATGGAACAAATAGAATATACCCAGCAAGATGGCAGATTTTAATCAAGAAAGGTAATGAATATGTAACTGCATAAAATGTCAACATTATTGTCCAGCATGGAAGCCATAGTGATATCACTGATCACATGATACACACACACACACACACACACACACACACACACACACGCTGAGAACTAACTCTATGCCTCTCTAACCTTGGAGCCCAAAATAGTGTCCAACAGTGTTCTCCCAAACAGAAGTCAGAGGTCCCCAAATTCACAGTCCATCCCAGTCATGTTACAGAGAAGCTCACAGTCACCAAGACTCATCTTCAAACCCACCAAGTCCAACCAGTCCCACAAGGATGAACAGAAAGCCCAGATTTAACTGAAACCCAAGGAAAAACTCAAACATGCAAGATAAGTTAAAAAGGCAAAAATTAAAGTACTTTGGAGGAACTAGACTTTATGCAGTTAAAAAAAAAATACAATAAGTCCAGAATGAAAAAGTATTTAAACTCATAAAATAAGACAGGATGATATTAAAAGGGTGGAAAACTGAAAAACGGGAGAGAAAGGAATAATTAATGACAACCACAAAGTCCAATATGTTAAAAAAGAAGAAGAAAGAAAACAGAAGGAAAGAACAGAAAAGCGTAGAACAAGGAAACAACCAAATAATTTTTTCAAAACTGTAATAATGAAGAACATGAGTTTCCAAATTAAAATTTCTTATGAAATAAAGAAGCTAATAGATGAAAGTACAATTAGCAGCAACAACAAAAGGTTTCATAAAGAAGCAGAAATCCAACTTAGTTGAGACTTCTTAATAGCAACAATAAAAATTAGAAAAACAATGGAACAGCTTCTTCATAATGTCTACAGTAATGATTGCCAACATAAAACTATACTCCCAGGAATGCTATTTATCAGTTTTGAGGACACAGTGTGGATTTTTACAAACATTGAAGGTCTCAACAGAATTTAAATTTCTGTGGGCTCACTTTTATTTCAAGTTTTTTAATAGACTTTGGGGAGCAGTTTTAGGTTCACAGCATAATTGGGCAGAAGGTACAGATATTTCCCATATACCCCCAACCACTATAAAAACCCTACACCAGAGTGGTATATTTATTGAAATTGATGAACCTACTCCAATAAATCATTATCACCCAGAGCCCATAGTTTACATTAGGGTTCACTCTTAGTGTTTCACATCCGATGGGTTGTCACTAATGTATAATAATATGTATCCATCATTATGGTATCATAACACAGTGCATTCACTGTCTAAAAATCCTCTGTGCTCCTCCTATTCATCCCCTGCCCTTCCCCCAACTTGGCAACCATTGAACTTTTTCCTATCTCCCTGGTTTTGCTCTTCCGGAAGTCATATACTTGAAATCATACAATAGTCTGTTCAGATCGGCTTCTTTTATTTACCACAATGCATTAAAGAGTCCTGCATGTCTTTTGTATCTTGATAGATCATTTTTTGACAATGGATAATATCCTATTGTCGGAATATACCACAGCATTCACATATTGAGGGATATTTCAGTTGCTTCCAAATTTTAGAAATTATGAAAAATCTAGTATGAACATTCATGTGTAAGTGTTTGCATAGGCATAAGTTTTCAACTTATTTGAGTAAATACAAAAGGGTGCAATTGCTGGATCATACAATAAAAGTATATTTACTTTTGTAAGACATTGTCCAATTTTCTTCCCAAGTGTATGTGTTATTTTGCTTTTCCACCAGCAATGAAGAAGAGTTCCTGTTACTTCACATCCTCATCAGCATGAG